TCAGAAGCACATTTATAACTGGAATATAATTTAATTTCATTCACATGTGTTTCATAAACACATAATCCTTTATGCATTACAATCCGCCATCAAAATGATATATTTAATTATTCCGGCTGCTGTGAGAAAAGGCTATAAATGATCCGCCACCTGCAGGATCCTCACATGCGATAGCCTAGTAGCCGGGACAACTTCTTTATGTTTACAGACGTGACATAATGACGCGGCAGCATGCTCGAATTTCCCACGAAAACCTACCCGTACCACTCAAACTAGAAAACATTATTATAAGCTAACCGTTGTGAATCGGGCTAAAGTAAGGCGACAGTTTTGAACACTGGCTGGTTATGTACTTGCTCAAATATTGATTTTGGATCATTTTTAACCAAAAAAAGTTACGGACTGCAGCTTTAAATAAAGATATTTTTATTTTGAGAAACTTACTTTTACTTCACTACATTCCAAAGCATAATATCACACTTTTTCCTCCTCTACATTTCATAAAAACACATCCTTTCCCGTTCTGTCAAACTGAAGAAACCTCTGTGTGAATCGAGATCTGATTCATGAGCGAGCTGAACTGATTCACTAAACTCGGAGTGAATCGGAGCGCTGTGATTGATTTGTTTAGATTACTACACCCTGTTCGGCACCAGCTGTCACGGATGCGACTTCCCCATTGAAGCGGGCGATAAGTTCCTGGAGGCGCTGGGGTTCACCTGGCACGACACCTGCTTCGTCTGTACGGTACGAGAACAGTGCAGTGTATCAGAGCCATGAGACGCTTGCTCCTGTTACGCAGTGAATATAGTATGAATGATGCATTTATATAGCGATTTATTGTGTATTGCTGTACACGCAAAGCGCTTTACAATCATATGGGGTCATTACTTTCACTTTTTTTTAAACTAACTAACTTTACTAACTTTGTTTTATTATTGTATTTATTTACTTATTTATTTGTTTGTTTATTTTCTTTACTTATTTCATTCTACTTATTTATTTACTAACTTTATATATTTATTTTGTTAATTTTCTTTTACTTACTTTATTTACCTTTTTATTACCTTTTTATTATTTACTCATTTACTTTTTATTTATTTATGTAGTTATTTATTCACTTATTTACTTTATTTATTTAATTTAATTCATATGCATTATTTGTTTATTTACTTGATTTGCTCATTTAATTTATTTACTTTATTTTCATTTATTTATTGAATTTTTTTATTTTTACTCACAAATAGCAATTTCTACTCAAAATATTTTACGTCTTGAGATAACTAGAAAAAAAATTAAATGAATTATAGAAATTCCCATAACTTTAAAGGTCTAGAAATCACAAATATATAGGGTTTCCCTGGTTCTTAAATAAAACTGACATTTGTAAAGGGAATGAATCAAAATGAGAAATATGGTTTTATTTGATTGTTTGAAGGGTTAATATGTGGTTTTGATGATGTTCTGGTGTCTCTCTCTGGTCCTGTAGGTGTGCAGCACGAGTCTGGAGGGTCAGACCTTCTTCTCCAAGAAAGACAAGCCCTTGTGCAAGAAGCACGCTCACACTGTCCAGTTCTGATCTCACACTGAAACCAACGCCTTGCTGGTCATATTTGACTTTTGTGAGATTTATTTTAGTGCATGAATGTTTATGAGAAGAGATATATTTGCTCCAGTTTCCCTCATCATGAGATCAGAAACTGCTTCCCTGAATAAGACTCGGTTTCATGTTCTGGGTGTGTTTGTCTGTTTTTGAGTGAGTATATCATGCGATACAGTGTTTTATTGAGATCTTTACCATGATTGAAAATGATCTTTACATGCAAAAGATATTTCATTTGTTATTTGTAGCATTACAGAAGATCATATTCTATTTTCCACATGTTTTTAAAGAGCCATGACTCTGTGCTAATATATTTTTCACACTCATGAGATCAGTGTGAGTGCTGCAGTACATCCAGCTCTCTTTATGCAGGTATATTTTATATTTATTGAGGCGGAAAGGAAGATTTCGGGGGCTTTGCGCGTATTTTACTTTCAGAGCGGTGATGTTTAATGTTTTATGAGTTATTTCTGTGCTCTTTTATCTGTGTCAGGTTTGTGGGATGTCTGATTGATTCTGTGCCTTTATTTGTATTAATATACAAAAATGTTTCATATTTAGGCCTAAAGTCATTCCGACTGTTTTCTAATCATTAGCACTCATTTTGAAGCTAATAAGGGTCGGTGGTTCATGTGCATCTTTATTCTCAGAGCGGTGATGTTTAATGTTTTATGAGTTATTTCTGTGCTCTTTTATCTGTGTCAGGTTTGTGGGATGTCTGATTGATTCTGTGCCTTTATTTGTATTAATATACAAAAATGTTTCATATTTAGGCCTAAAGTCATTCCGACTGTTTTCTAATCATTAGCACTCATTTTGAAGCTAATAAGGGTCGGTGGTTCATGTGCATCTTTATTCTCAGAGCGGTGATGTTTAATGTTTTATGAGTTATTTCTGTGCTCTTTTATCTGTGTCAGGTTTGTGGGATGTCTGATTGATTCTGTGCCTTTATTTGTATTAATATACAAAAATGTTTCATATTTAGGCCTAAAGTCATTCCGACTGTTTTCTAATCATTAGCACTCATTTTGAAGCTAATAAGGGTCGGTGGTTCATGTGCATCTTTATTCTCTTTGTTTTAGTTGCCTGTAATTTACTTCTTTATTCTGAGATGGGATGAAAAATAAAACATACATTAATCATAGTGTGATTAAAATGATTTTTTTTTTTTAATGCAACACTGATCACAACATCCATTGTTATCATTAACTAAACTAAAACCATAAAAAAATTATTGCTTGAAATGATAGATAGATAGATAGATAGATAGATAGATAGATAGGTGTGTGTATGTGTGTGTGCGCGCATATGCAAAGATGACAAAAGACATTAATATACAAAAATGTTTCATATTTAGGCCTAAAGTCATTCCGACTGTTTTCTAATCATTAGCACTCATTTTGAAGCTAATAAGGGTCGGTGGTTCATGTGCATCTTTATTCTCTTTGTTTTAGTTGCCTGTAATTTACTTCTTTATTCTGAGATGGGATGAAAAATAAAACATACATTAATCATAGTGTGATTAAAATGATTTTTTTTTTTTAATGCAACACTGATCACAACATCCATTGTTATCATTAACTAAACTAAAACCATAAAAAAATTATTGCTTGAAATGATAGATAGATAGATAGATAGATAGATAGATAGATAGATAGATAGATAGGTGTGTGTGTGTGTGTGTGCGCGCATATGCAAAGATGACAAAAGACAAATATGAGATATGCAAAATTATAAAACAAAAATGTCAATTTTAGCTAGTCATTTTTGTTTAGATTAAGTTGAAGTACAAAATAACAAACTAAAAATTCATAAAAACTTTAAGTAAAATAAATTATAAAAATGAGAACAGAATGGCTAAAACTTTAACTAAAATTAAAACAAAATATATAGGAAAATACTCTATATTATTTCACATTTTCATATATTTCACAAGAGAATAACTCTAAAATTAAGAATTTAGAAAAAAATCTAATTTTTGTTTACTTCAAGCTTAAGTACTAAAATAACTCAAACTAAATACACAAACTAAAAATGAATCTATATTTACATATAAAGATGACAAAAACAACACAATTACTGAAACTTCTAACTGAAATTAAAATGAAAACAGAAAATATATAGAAAAACATTTGAAATGTAATATATAAAATCAAAGATTGAAATTTAAAATCAGAATAGAACAGAAACAAATATTTAAATTTTAATTTAAAATGTTAACAAAATTAAAATTAATTCTTCATACAACATGGATCACAACATCTATTGAGAACAAGGTATTGTTATCTAAAACTAATATATATATATTCATTTTAGTTTTATAGCTTTAGTTTTAGATAACTATAGCCTACATATAAATAGTATTTCAATGATACTAAAATATCACTGCATCATCAGAAACACGTTTGCATCACTACTGTAAATGCTTTAATAATGAGTGACATTGTATATTTTCCGGGTCACCTGAGAGCGATCCTTCGGTCTCTAGATCCCAAACCATCACTCCACCACAAACACACAGCCTGCGCTCGCCTTTCATACGATGCCGGATCATTTTCAGTCCCTGCGAAATGGATATTAGCAAACACTCACCGTCTTCCAGTAATGACTGAGTTTGCCAGTAGGTTGCAATGCATGTTTATGATGATCAGATTATAGAAAAAAGGTTTAACCGCATTAGTCCTCCTTCTCCTCCACTAACTAAAAAACTGTTAGACATTCTGCACCTGCTCCTTGAGTATGTGTGTGTGATCATGTATATCCAATATCATTAAATTTTTTAAGCACTACGTTTCATGCACAGAAATTAAACAATGCACAAAGAAAAGCAGACTTTAAAGATGACTTTAATGCTGTAAACAGTATTGTTTTAGTGGTTTGGATGTTTTGGATCTCAATCAGCATCAGATGAAGTTTAAATTCACATGTAAGATCTGAAAGAATCTGAAAGAAAGAGTGAAAATAAAGCGACTCTGTGGATTATTTCTGTGAAACAGTTCTTTTCATTCCTGCACTGAAGCAGAAGCTCAAAACAACTAACTAGTTTAATGCCCTGAATTTGTTTTGTAAATGAATCCTGAATCTGAATGGTCAGATCTGTAGAGAAGCTCAAAAACCAAAGGCTTCATCTATAAAGTGCATTAACTTCATGTTCTGTGTTATATATAGGTGTATTTTTATATATATTTGAAGACTGAATTGTGTTTTATATTTGTTTTTTTTTGTAGTTTAATGTTGTAATGTAGATTTTAAACTTTATTCTTTAGCGTAGCGCTACTTTATGTTCCGTATTTATTTATATAAGTCAGACACTGAAGTGAGTTGTTGTTTTTGTCACTCTTTCTGTTTTAAAGATGTTTTCTATATTCATCCATTGTGTCCTCTTAAGGTGCAATTTTGTTAACCTGGCAACACATCCCTTACAAAAAAAACCCCCAAAACCATAGATACTATAGTTAAACCATACTCCCGCTCCAAGGTTCTGATCTAGCCTAAATGATTCACGATCCACGCTCTGAAGTCCCGATTTGAACCAAATGATTCCCCGGCCTCCGCTCACTCTAGCCCCCGGCCTCCTCTCACTCTAGCCCCCAGCCTCCGCTCACTCTAGCCGCCGGCCTCCGCTCACTCTAGCCCCCCCGCAAGCCTCCTTCGTCGAATCCTCCACCTCTGCTCACTCTAGCCCCCGGCCTCCGCTCACTCTAGCCCACCGGCCTCCGCTCACTCTAGGCCCCGGCCTCACTCTAGCCGCCGGCCTCCGCTCACTCTATTATGTAAACAAAAACGTTTATTTTGGATGCGATTAATCGCGGTTAATCGTTTGACAGCACTAATATATGTATATATATATATATCGATTCGCTCAAATTCGCTCAAATGAAACGATTAATTCAGGAATTATATTTAGTACATTGATAGACATGGTCCTGAATAATTTGACCAATTTTAAGGTCTCTACGGTGTGCTCCATAGCGCCACCACCAGTTCAAAAATGTACTTTTATTTTTCGACAACAGTAGACGTGTTTGATAAAGATGTTTTTCTGATATTAGTGTGAGGTTCAGAGCAGGAATATGGTGATGTAGGCTACAGTATGTGTATTGTATATTCTATAGCCTACTATATTAAATAATAGCCTATATAATTTCAGGTTGTTTGAAAGGGCAATTTTAGATTAGATTAATATTTAGTATTTTTGTATTACATTATGTTTTTTTTCATAGTTTCTATCCGTCTCTGTGAGGTTTATGTTTTTTTTATTTTTTATATATACTCTATGATATAGTTTACATTTTACATTTACATTTACATTTAGTCATTTAGCAGACCCAGTGATGTTGTGTATATGGAGAAGAGGAGGGGTCCAAGAACTGATCCCTGAGGAACCCCAGTGACAAGTTGATGTGCTTTGGATACCTCCCCTCCCCAAGCCACCCTGAAAGACCTACCAGTGAGATAGGATTCAAACCAGCGAAGTGGAATCCCTGTGATGCCCATTGAAGAGAGGGCAGAAAGGAGGATCTGATGATTGACAGTGTCAAAAGCAGCAGAAAGATCCAGCAGAATAAGAACTGATGATTTGGAATCAGCTTTTGCAATCCGCAAGGCTTCCGTGACTGACAGTAGCGCAGTCTCAGTGTAATGGCCACTCCTGAAACCTGACTGGTTAGGATCCAGTTTGTTGTTTTAGGTCTGACGGATTTTGAGGTATAGTGTGGTTGTATGTAGGTGTGTTTTGATGGTGAAGCGGATGAGGAGCTTGTATTGAGGTGTATTTCTCTGATGCGTCAGTGGTTGGAGCTTGTGCGCCTCAACACACACACACACACACACACACACTCTCACTCACTCACTCACACACACTCACTCTCTGAAGGAAAGAAAACCAGCTTTCCTCCTCGAGTTGGGCAGAAGGAGTCGTTTAATCTCTCCTCATCGAGTAATTGATCGCTAGATGTTTCTCTGTGCAGCGGACGCTTTCTGACGGACTTTAGAGGATCGTGAATGAAGGTGAGCGTCTGAACGCCAGTCTGACACGTTCACGGAGGTTTTAGGGTTTAATCCGCCGTGTTTATCGATACACTCGCCGTCGGTCTGTGATCCGCGAGCAGATTTAGGGTGTCTTGTTTGCAAAAGTTTGGCGTTTTCTCGTGAATCTCGCTGCAGTGTCTCAGGATCTTTCTCACAAGCAGCTGTCAGCGCTTAGTTTTAGTGGTACTAGTTTAAGGAAAATAAATTAGGTGTGTTGTGATGAACGGAAAACATCATTCGAGTAAGAGATTCAACTCTTGGAGCACAAAAGCAGTGTTAAATCGCTGTGGTATATTTGTAGCAATAGCCAACAATACATTGTATGGGTCAAAATTATACATTTTTCTTTTATGCCAAAAATCATTAGGATATTAAGTAAAGATCATGTTACATGAAGATATTTTGTACATTTCCTACTGTAAATATATTAAAACTTAATTTTTGATTAGTAATATGCATTGCTAAGAACTTAATTTGAACAACTTTAAAGAAGATTTTCTCAATATTTAGATTTTTTTGCACCCTCAGATTCCAGATTTTCAAATAGTTGTATCTCAGCCAAATATTGTCCTATCATAACAAACCATACATCAATGGAGAGCTTATGGCTGGTTTTGTGTCCAGAGTCATGCATTTGAACATCAAGAGATGTTTTAATCTGTGTTGGGTTTATAAGTGAATTAGCTACTTTTAGATTTTCAAGCATGCATATTTTGATTAGTAATGAAAGCAAACACATCCAGCTCTGGTTGTTTGGGTTAGCAATTATTGGAAGTTTTTTGACATGTTGATGAATTGCGATTTGATTAGGGATGATTCCTGAAGCCGTTTTACTGGTTGTTTCTATATTAAATGATATTGCATAACTCCCAGGGATGTGATTTATTGCTGCTCATCAAGGTCTTACGAAATATTCTGTTTGACTGTTCTTGTAGATGTTGAGAGATCTGATCTGAACGTCATAAATCCATAAGGAGCTGCATTCATCTGCAGACTGAGGTAAGACAATCGGTCAAAGACTTTAGCAATCGGTGCGAGACCGTGTTTTTTGGCGGCTGATGTTTTCATTTTGCCTTTAAATCCTCCGATATTGAATCTTTGGTTAAGTTTTGCTTTGAATGCTTGGTTAAGTTTTGCTTGTTTAATGGCTGAAATAATTGTGATTGTTGTGAATACAGCTGAAGGGTGTTCACATAATGACTGTTATCAAACGGTTTTCCCAAACAATCCCCTCGCCTGCCATTGGTCAGTCACGCAGGTAGCCCCGCCCCCGAACTCACGTCATTGTTTGAGTCAGAAGTTGGGCCGCTCTACAATCAAATCAATGTTTTTGAAAGCGTTTTAAAAAAGTGCTGGGCAATGATTAATCGCATCCAAAATAAAAGTTTGTGTACATAATATATGTGTATATTTATTTTGTATGCACACACATGCATGCATGTACATATTTAAGAAAAAATTTATGTTTATATATTAAATATATTTATATATAATAAAAATTATATGAATATAAATATAGACATGTAAATACATGTAAACATTTTCAAAATATTGTAAGAAAAAGTGAATACGTCGAAGATCTTGATGAAGAATAACTTTTATTACAGAATAGTAGTGACAAAGTACATGTAGTACCTTGGGTTCAACGGAGTCAGACTGAACCCCGAACATCCTAAGCTCAATCATTTTATACAGTATTACGTTCATCTTCCCGCTCAACATGTAAATTAAGTTTCGTTTTAAATGTAAATTGCGGATGACAATGAAAGTGATAGCCTTCCGTTCCCACATCTTCGGTAGACTCAAGTGGGAACAACCAAATGTTAAGGTGATAAGATTAAACAGAATCCATAGCAGTTATTTCATGTACCCTTTTGGTCAGCAGATGGTTCTTGACGACCTGCTGCTTCTCCCACGCTATAAGTGACAAATTATCGCTCCGGAGGTACTATTTACATATGATTAAGATCGGAAAGAACTATCTATATGATAATTAAGCTCTTTGTAGAGAAAGGAGCATAGTTTAATACACAATTTGGAGTGGAAGCTGGGTCGAGGCAGACTATAATTTCTTACAATATATACTGCATGTGTATGTCTTTACATAATAAATATACACAGAACACACATATATTATATAACATTTTTTTTTTTAAATTTGAATTCAATCAATCGTTGCCCAGCACCAGTTTAAAGTGTAACTTGGGATGTGAGAAAATATTTTAGCATTTAAAATAAATGACACACTTCAGCCTTCAAGATAAACATGTTCATTTATACTCTGTATTTTACACAGAGCTCAGATAAAGTTCATTACATCTTTGGGTTCAGGGCTTGTGTTGGGAGTACTAGTTTATTTACTGGAGTACTAGTTTGTTTACTTACTGAATGCTATGCAGTATGTACCTTTATACTGTATGCAATGATAAACAGAGGTGCATAAGACTTGTTTGAGAGCCCTCAGATTCCAGATTTTCAAATAGTTGTATCTCAGCCAAATAATAAAGCTTATTTATTCAGCTTTCAGATGTATAAATCTAAAAAAATTAACCCTTATGACTGGTTTTGTGGTCCAAGGTCACATGTGACTTTTCTGCCGTCTGTGTAGCAGCTGATGAAGTAAAGAGCACAGATTCGTCATCTTCGTCCTTGGATCTGATCTGACCTGACCTGAGTGAATTGGTCTTTAATCGTAGCGTGTGTGTTGTGATATCCGTGAGTATCGTGTGTCTGATAAGCGGTTCTTTGGGAGCATGTCGGCGGCTACAGGAGTCATTTATAATGCGGCGTAATGAGAGAAAGCCATTACAGGGCCCGATGTGTGTTTTGGGTGGGATTTCTAAAAGCCTGCGTGTGGGAAAGTGCTCATTTTGTCTGTGTGGTCTGGCTTTGGCGGCCGTAGGCTTGTTTGAATTAAACCCAGTGGGCCGGCGCTGTTTTACTGCTTTTATTTCACTGTGGCGTCGTTCGGTGTGAAAACATATCTTATAGCTCTGTTCGCTGATGATGTTACGTCATCACAGGTCACTTGAGGTTGATCATTATGGGTTTTAATGGCTGATTTCAATATTAGAAGAGCAGGTGGGCAATATAAAGATTATATTTATCGCAAAATAAACTCAGAGAGTAGGGGTGCACTGTTTGAGGGAAACAGTCTAATTGTACTTCTTTTTTTTTTTTTGCTAAAAATTGTGATTGATTTAAAATGTGTCTGTCTTTTTTTTTTAATGCTCTCTTTTTCTGTGCACAATTTGGCCAACTTTTTGTGATTTACATATGTATGACTATTAAAAAAAAGTAATAATTATATGATATAATAATTATATTAAAAAGTAATAATTTGAAATTAATAAATGGTAATAATAATAATGATTTATTTTTTTATATTTAAAAATGGAAACAAAATTAAATCATTTACATTTTAACTTAATTTATTGGTTTAATATAATTAATTTGTATTGATTTTTTTTTTATAATATATATATATTTTTATGGCTTCAGTGCTTGTTTGTAGGGCTGCACACTTTGGCTAAAATTTTTGTTATTTATATATGTGACTGCATATTTTTATTGTATAAAATACATTTTATAATTAAGTTTAATTTATTAATTTTATTAATATTTATTAATATTAAAATTTATAAATACATTTCATTTATTTTAATATTACATTTACATTTAGATGCTGAATGTAAATGAACACGTATTTACACAATGTTTACATTTATGGAAATACATATTTACAATATTTAAATATTATTTTAATACCCAAAATATTCCCCCCAAAAAATGTGCATTATTTATTAAGGATAATATTGAAAAACGTAGAAAAGTGGAATGCTGTCTTCAGTTAGTCAGCTGAACGTGTGCAGTTAAAATCTCAGTTGTATTGAGTATTGTCTGATTGTTTTGCATGAGCAGTTTAACACTAACTGGCCCATCCGTCTCTCAGAATGAAATCTTCTTTGCACGATGCGCTTCAGCGTGATTTGCAGCACTTGTTGAGCTGTGACATGTGTTTGTTCCTGTAGATTCTTATCTCATTAAAACCGTCAGCTTTGTTTCCCAACATCTCTCAGACGTTTAAAGTCGCTATTGTGCGCGCGAACGCTGCCGAACACTGCGCCTTTGTGCTCTGAATCTGCATAGCCCAAGGGCTTCTGGGAGAATTGAACAAGCTTCTGATGTTCCTGGAGAACGGAGGCGTGTGAGATTCCTTCATCAAGGTGAATTTCCAGCCTGGAGCTGCAGAGGTCAGAGTTTAGAGTCCGAATAATGAGCTCAGATCGTTCTCAGAAACATGACGTGAACTTTTAGGCCTGCTTTATGTTATTTACACATAAGAATGGCATAAAAACGTGGCATAATGTGAAAATGCAGCGCAAAAATGACCATTACTTATTATTTCATACACTACCAGTCAAAAGTTTTTGAACAGTAAGATTTTAATTTTTTTTAAAGAATTCTCTTCTGCTCTCCAAGCCAAAATATTTCACAATATTACTGCTCTTGCTGTATTTATATACAGTAAAAGCAGTAATATTGTGAAATATTTTTACTATTTAAAACAGCTGTTTTCTATGTGAATATCTGTTCAACTGTAATGTATTTCTGTGATGCGCAGCTGTATTTTCAGCATCATTACTCCAGTCTTCAGTGTCACATGATCTTCAGAAATCATTCTAATATGATGATTTGCTGCTCAAGAAACATTTCTGATTATTATTATAGTCTTCATTTGATTGAATTTCCAACAAAAACCACTCTATTGTGAGTTATATGGTTATCAGTTAGCCACGAGTGTGTTTGCTGTGGCTGCGCGTCTGTCTGCAGTCTGAGCTGCATTGGCCGACCTTTGACCCCGCCTTCCGCTCGTGTAATTGCAGGAAGTGAGCGTGGCCAGTGAGAGCAGGGGATTGTGGGTAAGCATTAATGAGCACAGAGGTGGCAGAGTTGCTGAAGGGGAGAACAGTCATTTATTTGGCCATTATTTGAATGTTATGCTAGTGTTGTCTGCATGATTCATAACTAAATGTTTACATTACGTGAAGAAAATGTAAGTGGTGTTTGGAAAATCCACCACCGGGATTCTAGAATCTTCCTTTATGGTTGCCAGGGTGTTGCTACACTGTTGCTGGATGGTTGCTATGTAATTTGTTACTGTCTCCAGTGAAATGAGTCCATGCTAATATTGATGTTAATATTATTGGATAATATTGGAATGGTTAATATTATATAGCCTTGATTTCATCAGCAGAAAAGTCATTTTCAGAAATTTGTTACATTTTAATGAATGATTATATAAGTCCATTGTAGTATTGTAGTGTTTAAACGTATTATTATTATTTTATATTATTAAATTATAATGTATTAGTATTAAATATAAATATTTAACTTATAATTGTTTAATAATATTTTTTATAAATGTAAAATTACTAATATTTAATACAATTAAAAATATTAAAATAATGTATAATTAAAAGTCAATTGTTTATTATTATTATTATTATTATCAATAATAATCTAATAATATTAAATAAAATATTTAATATATGTTTAATGCAATTTTTTTATAAATATTTAATAATAAAATTAAAAATAAAAATCATTTAAAAGTAAATAAATATTTAATTTAAAATAAAACAATTTATTAGTAGTAGTAATATTAGTATTATTATGTAATATTATTTTATAATATATAAGAATATTGAATATAAATATTGAATAGTATTTTATATGTAATAATATTTAATTATAAAATGAAAATATTAGTTTTTATTAACCAATATACTACATAAAAATAAGCAACAATATTGACGTATTTACAAACTTTAATTCTTTGTAATAACTCACACTAATGAATCATGAGACGGGAGTCATTTATTCTGAAAGTCAATAGAATCACTTGTGATTTCTATCAGCTCGTGTTTTTCCGTAAACACGTGAAGTGTCGCATGTGAAAGGAATAAAACCCGACTCATCTCGGATCTCTTCGAGGCTCTGAAGATGAAAGCCAGCGAACTTCCTCTCAGATGATTTGAATTATTATCTCATCAACATGTCACACGCTGCAAACGAAATGCGTCTGACTTTTGACTCGCTGACTGCGGCGGCGGGAGATTTATGGCACTCCGTCTTTGATTTCCCACAGAAACAAATCCGAGCCCTGCGCTAATGCGTCGCGATGCATGCCATCCGTCCATCCATCGTTTGTTGATCGCCAGCTCTTCATGAAGAGCCGTTCTGTTCTCAGCAAGCGTTTTAAAGACTGCCGGTAAGAGTGTGCGTGAATCACTCAGAGTGTCAAACGCTCCATTAATCCCCAGCACAGATGCATTATGGGTGGTGGGTTTAGAGAGGATGGCTGGACGCTGCTCTTCGGGGATTCGGAGAGAAGACTGAAGCCTACACTCTTAAAAATAAAGGTGCTACAAAGCTTCTTCACAGCGATGCCACAGAAGAACCATTTTTGGTTACACAAAGCAGCATTCAGTCAAAGGATCTTTAAAGAACCATCTCTTTCTTACCTTTTTATAATCTGAAGAACCTTCTTTCGCCACAAAGAAGCTTTTGTGAAACAGTGAAAAGGTTCTTCAGATGTTAAAGGTTCTTAATGGAACCATTTAGACAAAAAGGTTCTTCTATGGCAGTGTTACTCATTGCGTGGCTTGCGAGCCTCATGCGGCTCGCCAAGCTTTAATGTGTGGCTCGCATGGCAGATGGCAGTAAATAATGCGATGATATGATCAATACAGATATTTAATAAAATCATTAAAAACAAGCAGGGCTATAACTAAGCCATTAAAAAAACTCACACCGTGTCTACACCGGACGCGAGCATCGTGGAGCGACGCGACAAAAGACAATAGAACCCATTATAATTATGGCCCTATGATTTCTGCGATGCGGAAAACGCGGACGGAATCGCGGAATCCAGTCATAAAAACAGAATTTACTGTATAACGGGGAATGTCACGGAATTTGTCAAAGTTTGGGTGAATAAATCAAAAGTAGGTCATTACACTTAAATGAAATCACAATATTGATTGGTATCTGTAAATACTAAGCTGCAAAAATAACATTTAAATATGAATCCTGCGTGTCTCTTTATGAATGAATGGCGCAGACGCACGGTTTCGTTTACTACACACATACTGAAGCGAACAGTGTGTTCAGCGTCTGCTGTCTCGCTAAATGAGAACATAGCCTAAATACATGAACAACAGTCAGTGTCTGCTCTATTGCAAATAATTTATATTTAAAAAATACCCAAAACAGCGGAAATATTGACTAGAAACAAAGATATTTAAACTTGCTCTGCCCTTACGTCCATGACATTGACTCACTGCGGAGTTGTTTTGGCAATCTTTCCAGCTCTTAACGCCGAATGTGCTCTTATGGTTTGATACATGATGGGCTAATGTTGAAGCAAATAACTTTAAATAAATAACTTTTAAAAATAAACCCATTTGTATTGCATTGCGTATTGTATGTTATGGGATGACGGATTGAGAAGCAGACATGCTATTTATGACTGGATGTAACTTTTCATACTTTGCAGTAAAAGTGGCTCTCCTATTAACTTTGTCCTATAAATGAAAAAAAATAGTGAAGATCACTGTTCTATGGCATCGTGAAACAGCTTTATTTTTAAGAGTGTAGGGATGGGAGTATCCATCCTGAAGTATCGATATATCGATACTGATGCGAGTATTGAAAGTATCGATACTCAAATAAAAAATTAAGAGTTTATTTGCAAAAACAGATAACTCCGTTTTTATTAATTTTCTTGAATCATGTTTTTTTATTGTGTTATATTGTGTTAGTTAGCTGTATTTTTTTTAGTTAGATGGGAGTATCCATCCTGAAGTATCGATATATCGATACTGATGCGAGTATTGAAAGTATCGATACTCAAATAAAAAATTAAGAGTTTATTTGCAAAAACAGATAACTCCGTTTTTATAAATTTTCTTGAATCATGTTTTTTTATTGTGTTATATTGTGTTAGTTAGCTGTATTTTTTTAGTTATTATTATTTAATCAAAACAACCCAACTGCAGTTTGATTGATATTAATTGGAATGTAGGACAAAAAAAAAAGATTTTTGAACTTTTTTGAGAACAGAGTTATCTGTTTTTGCAAATGAACTCTTCAAATACACTCTAAAAAATAACCGTGAATTTAACGGTAAAAGACTGAAAAAATGCTACAGCAAAAACCTGTTAAATGGTTAACGGTAAGTTCCCCTACTATATACGGTGAAAAACTGTATTGGACATTACATGTAATTTACGGTAGTATACCGTTTTTTTAAGTGAAAAATAATAATTTACAGTGAATAACCGTAAATTATTATTTTTCACATTCCCTGCGTTACATTTCAAATTTGATGTTTTTTT